CACAGATTATTATAACTCGCGGATTTTTTTTTTTTTTTTTTTTTTTTAACCAGCCAAATAAATTATTCTATGTAGAAATTAACGTTCCTGTATTTTATTTTTTTCTTTATTTAAACTCTTAAAATCCAAATTTTTTATAATTAAATTTTGCTAAATAAATATTGGAAACTATTTATAAATATTTTGAATTTCTTATAAATTAAATTCTTTAGAAACAACATAATCTTTACATAACTAAATGAATCATTTAGGGATCAAATTACTTCTTATACGGTAGACCCCCCCTATAACACTGTAGATAATTCCGTGTTATATGAATTCCATGTTGTACGAGTCACTTAGATTTTACAAATACATGTGCCGGGCTGTGAACGGCTCAAGTATTTGTAAAATATAAGTGACTCGTACAACATGGAATTCATATAACGCGGAATTATCTACAGTGTTATAAGGGGTCTACTGGTATATTAAATACTGTACACTAAATTGGTCTTTTTCCAAACCAATTTACTTTATAAAAATTTATTTTTATAAAGTAATAAGATCATTTAAAGAATTAAGTAAACCTTTCTTTAATAAATAAAAGAACAATTTTAAAGTCAAACGAATCTTATAAACCAATAAATATCTGGCCGATGTGGTCAGCTTACGACTCTGAGGTTTTCAGGATCGAATAGGGGAAGTCGAAAAGCCCCAGAAATCTTTCACCACCCGGTAGTTGGTCGCGGGTTCGCACCTCACCAGCGTGGAGTTTTCCGGGTTTTCGTGACGTGTGTAACACCTAAATAGGTGCCAGAAAGTCCTCCTGGGAGGTATCCTTCCTTGGTAGATCGCCCATGTATCCAATCGAACAAAACCAACCCTCACTTCCCTTTCGCCCCCACCGTGGGCTTGGCCGAGTCTACGATGGGTGTAGAAAAAAAAGGCACTTAATTGTCCACAGGCCGAAAAGAGCCAAAAATAAAAAAAAAAAAGATAATAAATGTCTTTAAAAAAGACTTAAAATGTTAAACTTTGTTTAAATAAATTAAATAAAATATTCCTTCGTAAGGAATGTTGTAGTAAGGATCTACAGCAGGGATTTCCAACGAAATCGATATAGACCCCTAGGGGTCAATGGAATTTTGAAAGTGCTCGATGATGGAACTCAAGAGGTCAACTGAGGGGGTCGATGGAAAAATTAGATACTTATTGTACTTTTTGACAATTTCAGACAACTTTGAAATAAGAATAATAACAATCACGTGGGAAATTCATTAACTGATTTAATAATTTACTTGATATATTATGCAAAATCTTGTAAAATAACAAAAAATTTTAAGGGGTCTTTTTAAAAAAATATATTTTCTATATGGGGTTAATGCAAGTAAAAGGTTGGGAACTCCTGACCTATAGGCTAAGACGTTTTATTCAAACAGCCTGAAGAATATGAAAGTCCAATGTTGCGGTTTACTCGCATTTAATTTCAGATTTAAAAAAATTTTTTTTTTAGTCTCTTGAGATCAAAATAATGAAAAATATTTATTAAACGTGAAGAAGAATGATTTGCTTGAATTATCTTAATTAAGTAAAGAATTTGTAGAAACGTTAAAGAGTACAATGGAAGAAACAATGATTTGCAGTTTTAGTCTTCTAATGCCCCTTTTAATTGGAACTTATAGCTTCGGGGATTAAGGTTGTACCTGATAAATTAAGGAAATGCTAGAACTACAGTAAATCCCACAGTAGCCATTACACTAATTTGTGTAATGGATAAGACAGAATTGCTGCAAGTCTGTTGTCAGAATGAACTTCTATTGTGGGGTTAAAGTAGCAATTACTGTATACACGCCTAATATTGCATATAATGCAACTTTAATTCTCATAAATACACAAAAAAAGTATAGAAGAGAATGACTCAAAAACCGCAAATTTTTAATAACAACTATAACCTATTTTAAACACAGTAATATCTACATATTTTATGAATTCAGACAAAAGGAAAAGTTTTTAGAAAATTAATAAACAGTTTAAAGTAAAAAAATGTCTGAAATCTTCGTAATAATAGTACCACACCCGACAACAGCAATTGAATTAGCAATCAAGAAAATTTCAATAATTAAAGAACATTTCTGAGAAATGCAATAAAGAGAGTTATCCATCAATGTCATTCAATGTATTGCAAGAAATGTTTCCTATATGCTTCATGCCATCTGGTTTGGCTTAGAGAAACTAATTATCACTCTAATCTCTTCTTATGTTTTTGTAAGTACAAGAAGATTCTCATATAATATCACCAGGTTAATGTTACATACATCCTTTCCATAAGTATCAAACACGTTGGGAATTTTTTCTAATTATTTTTATTTCTTTGTTATCTGATTTCGTTCGTATTTAATTCTTTTTTTTCACTTGTAATAAATTAAACAATAATAAATAAATAAATTATATGAGAAATTAAGTAAAAAATAAATAATAATTCCGACCTTTGAGAGGGCCTTTTAATTATCCATGGTGAATTTGGCCAGCCTCACAACGGGGTGGGACTGACACTCCCAAAATTCCTGAGATTTTTTTGACCCGTACGAATTCGAATCCGGATCCTTCAGGACGGTAGTCTGACATCTTAATAGGTTATAAAATTCTATTTATGTATTAAAAGTACCTTAAAAATATAAATATAATTTTAATTATTATTAAAAATCTTATTTATTTATCTTTAAAAATATTTTTTTCTTTTTAAATTTCAACAAGTAAAAGGATTGAAGTGTTCTTAAAATCTTCAAGTAGAGATTTTAAAAACACTTCAATCTCTTCAATTACCTTCTTAATAATTTAAAATTTGGATATTATTTGTAAAAATATATTAAAATATCCTATATTTAACAAATATATAATTATTTAAATAATTTCTTGTATCTAAATTCAACAAAACAATGTATAAACTCCTTTAAAAATCATCTTTATCCAAAGAATTTGGATGGAATTGCATTTCTACAAGAAGAAGAAGGGGGGGGTGATTTTTTTTTCTCTTGAAACCTAAGAGGGATATGAAATAACACGGTTTCTATTTGAAGGGTGTTTCGATAATTTTCAGCAGAAAAATAAACGAACTGAAAGAAAACCACAAGAGAAAACATCAATTTAAAAGTTGATATATCGATCGAAGAATTTCTTTAAAAAGAAAACATAAATTCTTATATTAAAAAAAAAAAAAAAAAGTTTACGATTCCGCTTTAATGGGACATTGAAGTAATGTTTCTAACATAGGTTTTATTTCTAACATAAATTGGTTTTCTTATATATAAATAAATTCTCGTAACTCACAAACCAACGAAATAAAAAAAAAAAAATTCGACACTTTCCTTCTTCCAATATAAAAGTTAAATGTATGCCGCCGCTACCAGTAATTAAAATATTCATAATGGTGGAAGAGGACGAAAGAAAAAAAAACACCCCTCGTCTATATAGTTTATATGTAGATTGATCTGTTTGTTGTTCATAGAAAATTACATTACATGGTGTGAAGATTGATGTATTGGGTTTCTCTTAAAACAAATGGACGATCGGTCTATGATTTAAATAAATTATCCTTAACTTAAAGTCTAGTCTCTGTAAATTATACGAATTTTGACTTTGTAACGGATGATAATCTTTGCAATCAGCGTAAATTATCATTTTATCATTGTTATTATTACCATAATAATAATAACTCGCATATATATATATATATACTCGAGATGAATTATCTCATATTTATCGAAATTCTAGCCTTTTCTACACAAATTTTCTTTAAAGAGAAATTAATGATTAGTTGATAAAGATATAACTTCAACAAAAATGTTTTTCTTAAGTTTGTTTTGCTATAACTTGAGAAAAGTTTTTGGTACAGAAGACGTCAATTTAATTACTGTTGTAGCAACACCTGGTGAATCGAGAGCCAAAAGCGATCTAGACAAAAAAAAAAACAAAAGAAAAATATGCTCCTAGCAGAAAGAATTTGAACTCTATCATTTATTTGATTTCTATTGGAACGGGCAGACACAAATTTAATTACCTCATAAAAAAAAAAATACTTCGAAAAAAATATATTCACCATGTGTACTGTACAAGTTTTTGCATAGAAAATATAGCCGAAAAATAATTTTTTTTAATGTAATTTACGTTATATAAAATTGGTTATATTATATAAAACTTAAATTTAGAATAAAATAGATTTTTTTTTTTATTTTATGATCTATAAATAACGTTTTTGTTATTATCAGAATCCTACACAAAATACAATTTTAAAGTTTTATTATATTAAAAAGTAATCTTTCTTTACATTTTTATAATATAATTTGGAGAATTACACCAACTGTAAAACCAAGAAAGAAATGTATAAGTTATATAATAAGATTTTTCTTCATTCTTATTAATAATATGCTTTCTATGCTCTGTGGATTACCTTCTTGGCATCATATTAATAGGAAAGTAGAAGAATCCTTTTGTGTTTTATAGCCTAATTTTTTTATACATTTTTTTAGGTGTGAGAAAAACTTTAGTCATAGCATCCAGAGACAACTTGCCCCTTTGCTCCCCTACGACGTTCTTGTTATTATCGACTTTATAAATGACGCAACGGTATTGAACGAACACAAAGTCGACCCTCTACTTGTAATATAAAAGTCTATAGACATAAATCTTTTATTGCGAGAAACTTATAACTTGAAAGTAATTTATTTTTATTAACTTTAAAAAAAAAGAAAATTTTTTATACAAATTGTAGAAACTTATACCATAAAAATCATATAAAAACAATTGATATGTTAAACTGAAAATTATTCTTATAGAATTTAGTACCTTTTTATTCGGAAGCATTTCTTTGTGCCAAGTTTTACTTACTTTGAAACATTACGAGAAGATACAGAAATAATAATAATAATAACTAATGTTAATTTTATATTACACAACAATGTTAACTTTTATTACCAAGTCACACTATTTGTCTTACTTTTCGATGGTAAAAAGTGTAAATTTAAGAAGTTACTATGTAAACAAACGTGAATAAGATAGAGAAGATAGAAAATTCTGACTCGAAAGTTTACATGAAAAATCCCTCGGCCTGGACAGGACTCGATCCTAAATCCTCCACCTTGACAAGAGATCTCCTTATCTCCTGGCAATCCGACAGAATCTTGAACTTCGATATTCCATTATTGAATTTTCTAAAATCTAAAATTGTACATATTGATTCTCAAATACTTCTTCATACATCAGATTTCTTTTATTTAAATCGTGTATATCTTTAATATAAATATTTAAAATTCGTTTTGTTATATCATAAGTAAAGTTTCGTATACTTTTTGTATCGATACTTTCCGTTAATTATCATTGGTTTTGATTGAAATTAAAATTATAGAATTAAAAAAAACATACGTTACTTTGGTTATAGATTACAGTCGACCCCCCTATAACACTGTTGATTATTCCGTTTTATATGAATTCCATGTTGTACGAGTCACTTAGATTTTACATATACGTGAGCCGTTTACAGCCCGGCACACGTATTTGTAAAATCTAAGTGACTCGTACAACATGNGAAAAAAATATATTCACCATGTGTACTGTACAAGTTTTTGCATAGAAAATATAGCCGAAAAATAATTTTTTTTAATGTAATTTACGTTATATAAAATTGGTTATATTATATAAAACTTAAATTTAGAATAAAATAGATTTTTTTTTTTATTTTATGATCTATAAATAACGTTTTTGTTATTATCAGAATCCTACACAAAATACAATTTTAAAGTTTTATTATATTAAAAAGTAATCTTTCTTTACATTTTTATAATATAATTTGGAGAATTACACCAACTGTAAAACCAAGAAAGAAATGTATAAGTTATATAATAAGATTTTTCTTCATTCTTATTAATAATATGCTTTCTATGCTCTGTGGATTACCTTCTTGGCATCATATTAATAGGAAAGTAGAAGAATCCTTTTGTGTTTTATAGCCTAATTTTTTTATACATTTTTTTAGGTGTGAGAAAAACTTTAGTCATAGCATCCAGAGACAACTTGCCCCTTTGCTCCCCTACGACGTTCTTGTTATTATCGACTTTATAAATGACGCAACGGTATTGAACGAACACAAAGTCGACCCTCTACTTGTAATATAAAAGTCTATAGACATAAATCTTTTATTGCGAGAAACTTATAACTTGAAAGTAATTTATTTTTATTAACTTTAAAAAAAAAGAAAATTTTTTATACAAATTGTAGAAACTTATACCATAAAAATCATATAAAAACAATTGATATGTTAAACTGAAAATTATTCTTATAGAATTTAGTACCTTTTTATTCGGAAGCATTTCTTTGTGCCAAGTTTTACTTACTTTGAAACATTACGAGAAGATACAGAAATAATAATAATAATAACTAATGTTAATTTTATATTACACAACAATGTTAACTTTTATTACCAAGTCACACTATTTGTCTTACTTTTCGATGGTAAAAAGTGTAAATTTAAGAAGTTACTATGTAAACAAACGTGAATAAGATAGAGAAGATAGAAAATTCTGACTCGAAAGTTTACATGAAAAATCCCTCGGCCTGGACAGGACTCGATCCTAAATCCTCCACCTTGACAAGAGATCTCCTTATCTCCTGGCAATCCGACAGAATCTTGAACTTCGATATTCCATTATTGAATTTTCTAAAATCTAAAATTGTACATATTGATTCTCAAATACTTCTTCATACATCAGATTTCTTTTATTTAAATCGTGTATATCTTTAATATAAATATTTAAAATTCGTTTTGTTATATCATAAGTAAAGTTTCGTATACTTTTTGTATCGATACTTTCCGTTAATTATCATTGGTTTTGATTGAAATTAAAATTATAGAATTAAAAAAAACATACGTTACTTTGGTTATAGATTACAGTCGACCCCCCTATAACACTGTTGATTATTCCGTTTTATATGAATTCCATGTTGTACGAGTCACTTAGATTTTACATATACGTGAGCCGTTTACAGCCCGGCACACGTATTTGTAAAATCTAAGTGACTCGTACAACATGGAATTCATATAAAACGGAAT